AGCTGCTCAGATGAGTGAGATCCACTCCAGATGTCCGTCTCCTGGCAAGAAGTCCCCTTGGCGTCTCCTCCAGGTGGTTGCCAGGGGAGGGGAGGGGGGCTGCCAAACACATGTGTGCCTCCTCCCCCATCCCCCCTTCCCTCTCCCCCTCCTGCTGCTCTTGTGCGATAGCCCTTAGGCAGAAGCAGCCTCAGCCAACAGCAAAGCAGAAGCAGGCAAGGGAGAGGCACTGGGCTCTTTTCTTTCAGGTAGGGAAGCTCTGGGGTGGGAGAAGGGACTTGGGGGGTGGCCTACAGGGGCCGGGGCCCGCTCCAGGCAGGGCCAAGGGAGAAACCCAGCTCCAAATATTGGTGGAGCACAGCCCCCAGCCTTGAATATTCCTGGTGCTTGGGCACCACGAGCCCATATAACCTGCCGCCCCTGCCCCCAAGCGGGGCAGATTGGCAAGAGCAAGAGAGGTAAGGGCTGGGCTCACCCCGTTTCCTAAAGCCTTGCAGCCCCCAGCTGGGAGGTAGCGGGGGTGTCCCCTGAGCCCACCCCGCTCCCTTCTCCGCAGCTGTTTGGAATCGGAGTCACTTCACCCACACCCTCCCTGGGAGTCCCCCCTTTGGCCTCCAGGTTTCACACCTGCTTGGCCATTCCCCCACTGGGTAGCCATGCAAAATTTAGGGGAAACTGAGGCACACAGGATTCATTGAAAACTTGAGAACATTTGTCACAACTTGAGCCTCCCTCCCCCCAACCCTGCTGGACAGTTGCCCTCGTTGGCTTATTTCTTTCCTCCCCTATTTTTTATTTTATTTTCACCCCCCCTCCCAATCACTCAATGTCCTCCCCCCCCCACTGGCACCTTCCTCCACAAGAGAGAAGCTGCTTCCCAGCGGGCTGGGGGGTGTAGGTACTGCTATGCTTAGCCCCCTCTGAAAGACCGGGGCTCCCTGCCCCCATGCTCCCCAGGCCAGCGGCCCCCTGCATCAGCAGAGCAGAACAGTGACTCTACAAAAGCCCCCCCCCAGCACCCCCACGCTCTTGCTGCCTCCCAGCGGATCCCCCAGGCACACATACATACAGCCAACTAGCCAC